GCACCCGGAAGCAAACCGGCAACCAATGCAGCTCCTGCAGGAGAGGTGACACATGTGCACACTAGGGTCTGCACAAAACCAAGTGGGCTGTTGCATTTTGCATCAACTGGAGCTTCCGGATGCTCTTCCAAGGGCAGCCCCATGTAGAGCGCATTGCAATAATCAAGACGGGTAGCGACTAAGGCATGAGTGACTGTGAGTAGGGACTGCTGGTCCAGGAAAGGGCATAACTGGTGCACAACCCGCAGTTGCGCAAAGGCCCTCCTGGCCACGACCGCCACCTGCTCTTCTTATGATCTTTTTGCAACAAGCAATTTTAACTGCGGTTGTTAAGTGAATCCTGCATTCGTTAAGTGTATCTGGCTTCCCCTGTTGACTTTGATTGGCAGAAACTTTCTGGCAGGGTCGCAAATGGCAATCACACAACTCCAGGATGCTGCAACAGTTGTAAATACATGTCAGTTACCAAGCAACCCAATTTTGATAAGATGACCCTAGGGATGCTGCAATGGTTGTACGTGTGAGGGTTGGTTGTAAATCACTTTTTTCAGTATTGTTCTCACGGTTCCAAGCAATACACCACACAATAGCAAACAGAACTCCAAGGCAAGCAGATTCCTCAAAGAACAGGTTTATTGGATATATCGTATTGGCACAGACTGGTAAAAACAGACTCTAAAGATTCCCATGGTTTTCACCTAATTAAAAGTAAAGTTTTCCCCCCTTTCCCAAATAGTCACATGGTCCAATCAAGGTGCTGTCCAGTTGCTTGGAAACTTCACTCCTCTCTTCAGCCACCTGTGGGAATGTCTTTGGTTCTCAGGGGAAACTATTTTGTTTTGGCTACAAAACCCCAGCTATCTCTATTCCTCCTGCCTATCCCTCAGCACCATTGTGGTAACACTGAAGCCTCAAGATGGCCTCAGTCAGTTGTTCTAACTTTGAACAGTTGCTAAACAAATTCTTGTAAGTTGAGGACTACCCCATAAAACATAAAACTACCCTAAAGCCATTTAAAACAGTTAAATATAAATTAAAAAAAACAAGATGACAACATGGAACATGTCATAATATTATACATGATGCAGCCTACGCGTAAGCTCTCTGTCGACAGAGATCCTGAAAAACTCATGTTTTAAGGAATTTCTGGAAGGTTACAATGGTTGGGGCCAGTCTCATGGGAGGGTGGGGTGGGGAGATTGGTGTCCAAAGATTGGGTGACAAAGACTACCATCTACCAAACAGGTTTATACTAAATACCAAATCCAGATACTCCATGTCATGGGTTAACATAGATATCTAAAAACATACATTCATGTAAATGTTGGGCAGATTCCATTTAAAAGCATATGCAATATTCTGATATTTTCACAAATTAACAAAGTACATGTTTTGCCCTAGACAGAAGAATGGTGAAAAGAAGCTGGTATACATATTTGGAATAAAGTCACATAAATTTACAAAGCTGGTATGGATTGAAGGACTAAACTTTGGATTTGCTGGCATGAAAGAAGATCCCTATTCATAATGTAATGGGAAATTCTACATTCTCTGTACCTAGATCATATAAGATGCTCCCTAGAATGTAAGTTATTCACTATAAAATGTGTTCAAACAGTGTGATAGAAAACGCAGCAACAGTGAGTTCACATGACACTACACAAGGCTAAAATGGGTTTTGTAATGTGTGATCTATTGTGCTACAAGACCAGAATTCATTTATTAACATTTGATTGGAACCAAGGCATTATGTTAATCTGTAGTATTAGAATTAGAATTCTTTATTGGCCAAGTGTGATTGGACACACAAGGAATTTGTCTTGGTGCAAATGCTCTCAGTGTACATAAAAGAAAAAATACATTCATCATGAGTCATAAGGTACAACACTTAACAATAGTCATAGGGTACAATAAGCAATCAAATCATACTAGGAAACAGTCAATATAGATCATAAGGATACAAGCGACAAAGTTAGAGTCATACAGTCACAAGTGGGAGGGCATGGGTGATAAGGACTGATGAGAAGATTAACAGTAATAGTAGTGCAGGCTTTGTAAATAGTTGGACAGTGTTGAGGGAAATATTTGTTTAGCCAAGTGATGGCGTTTGGGAAAAAACTGTTCTTGTGTCTAGTTGTTCTGGTGTGCAGTGCTCTATAAGCGTTGTTTTGAGAGATTGTTTATTTGGTCAAAATATGTGAGCGCAGCAATTCTTGTTTCATTATCCTAGTTTAGGATGTTATCTGAATCTGTCCAGAGTGTCAGTATTCATAGATTGCATTGTATAATCTTATTGCTTGATTTATGGGGCCCAGATACCACTGCCTTCTCTTGTAACTTTCCTCTGTTTCCCTGTTTTTCCCCTGTGTTTTTCCCCTAGTTCAGAAAATCCATTAAGTAGAGAAAAATGGAATATCTTTACAATGACTTATGACTGATAGCACTAATTGCTGGCTACTTAAAAGCACATACTCGCTCAGAACATTAATTTATGCTCATTAATGACCTAAATCTTCTTTTTATTCATATTGATAGCTGGCCTTCTCTAAAATAAGCTTGCAGTCATCTCAGCTGTGCTCATAACAAGATCATATGTGGTCCAGCAGTTAAATTAATTGCACTTAAGTACCATCATAGGCACATGACAGTTAGAAACTTCAAGAGAGACAGAAAGACACAAAGTTGTGCAAAAGAATTGGAGTAAGAAGTAATGTACCAGTTTTTCCCCCCTCTTACTCTACATCAGAGCATCAGAAGAGGCTGTGTAGGTTTTAAACAGCAGCAATAGGAGGCAGTAAATGGAATGATTCACGGAAGTTATTTTCACTGTCCTGGGAAAACAATACTTTGTTCTTAATTGGGTTGCACTCACTCAGCATCCCTACATACTTTGGGAATGAGCCTAAAACTATTTTCACTATTGACCTACCAATCTTATTAGATTTATATTCTGGCATTCCTCCCGGAACTCAAGAAAGTCTACGTGCCTAGCTCTCTTTCCAGTTCTTGCTCACAGCGACAGTCCTGTGAGGCAGGTTTTGCTGAGAGACAAGGAAAATATATGGGCAGCTAGAACCTCCTAGGACAGGAATGCTGACGGTGTAAATAATCCGCTGTGACCTTGCACAGAGATGGGAAGCAGAAAGAAGGGCACCCTGCGAGCTGAGGAAAAGGAGGGAGGAAAAGGTGGCATTGAAGGTTATAACAGGGTAACAACCACCATACTGTCAGAAGACAATTAACTGTTCAGTTGTAGTGAGCGATAAAAGATTCTGCACTGGCTGTACTAGGGGACTTTGGCTTAGATGTAGCCAGATGAAAAAGAGGAGATTCTGACATTGAACACTAAGCCACACTTTTGGTGATGTGTATGCTAGAGTTATTCCTGGACAGGGATAGAGTCATCGGGCTGATGCAATACATGGGTCAGTTATGATGTGGGAGATGCTTAATGCATGATGTAAAAACTGCAAGGAATGCAACAAACAACAGCAAGTGAGGTGGCTAGCTGCTATCATAAAATACTGTGTTTTCCTGAAAATAAGACCGGGGTGGGGGCTCCAAAATAAACACCAGGGCTTATTTGTTTGGGGGGGGTGTCTTATTTTTTTTCCACGTAGGGGAAGCCCACTTCTGTTTGCTTGCGGCACAACAGGGCAGGAGGCTGTGCGGTATGCTAGTGGCGCCACCACGAGGCAGTTGAGGGTGGAGCTGTTCCACGTGCCCCGCACTGGCTTACTTCAGGGCCCCTGCAGCCAGTCCATCCATGCCCCAACACTTGCCTCGCCTTGTGGCTGCATCATGGGCACTCCATTGTGGCCACGAGCAAGCAGAAGAAGTGGGCCGGCGGCTATGTGGGTTTCTGCTGAACATGGCTGCTGGTGCTGCCACTGCGAGGCAGTTGTCGGGATGTGGATGGCCTGGCTGTGGGGGCCCTGAGGTAAGATAGTGCGGGCGAATGGAGCAGCTCCACCCCTCCCACCTGCCTTGCCTCACCTCGTGTCAACGGCACTATGAGCAACCAGACGGAATGGAAAGCCGGGCAGCTGCGCAAGCTCTTAATTAGGGCTTATTTTGGGGAGGTAGGGCATATATTAGGTGCATACATAACAATCATGCTAGGTCTTATTTTCAGGGTAGGTCTTATTTTCGGGGACGCATGGTACCACAGTCTTCGCTGATTGCCATTTTGTTCCTGGGCTAATTGAAATCCCAGGAAGATTTACAGTATATAAGTAAACTCTTTTAGTCAGCAGCATCTGCAAATTTGGATTACCGTGTCCAAACTGGCAAGATGGTAAACAGAATGTCGCAATAAAATCCATCGGCTTGCATTGTGACACTGCCATTTTGCTGTCTTTGATGCACAAACCCTTGGAAGTGGCTATCCATGGGAGTTATGTTTGATGTCAACCAGGAAGAAGGTTCTCTGCATTGTTTTGGAAGTTGTTCAGCATGTATATCATGTTGAGCACTGTTATATTCATCTCTGCATTTGAGAATTTGTGATAGGGCTGCCACATTAATGGATGTCTGTCGATTAGGTTGGTTGTTACTGACATGGAGGCGCCATATCAGTATAACAAATCGTGCGAGGGCCTGTGATTGCCACACATATCCCTTTTATTTTCTGTCTCTTGGGAGTGTTAGTCTTACCCAATGTCATACTGAGTATTATTTATGACATGGGACAGACATAACCGGTGCCTCCTAATTATAGCTGAACTCTAATCCCCAGAAGGCCCAGCCAACGTAGCAAATAATCAGGGATCCTGAGAGTAGTATATTTCCAACTCTATCCCAAAGCATTGGAACCGTGAATGTGGGTGTTTGGGGTGTGTTTTTATGTTTGGCATGAATACGTGCAGTGTGTGAATGAATGAGTGAGTGAGTGAGTGAGTGAATGAATGAATGCCACTAACTTCCAACTGGAGGAAGATTGCAAATGCAACTAGTCTTCGCATAATTAGAAAGCATGCATTTGTGTTTCATCTTACCAGATACAACTGATGACCACACATTACTATGGTTGTTGAACCACATCCGTTTGGGAATCCCAGAGCTCATCATCCAGATTCGGCACCACAAACACACCCGGGTCTATGCATTCTTTGTCACAGCAACTTATGAAAGGTAAGTCCTCTTGGAGATTGGCAAGAGGAATAGATGGGCAAGTTGGCAAGAGTAGATGGGCAATAAAGACTTAGTGTTTCTCAACCTTTGAGCATGCTAAGTGGAGAATTCTGGGAGTTGAAGTTCAAATATCCTAAAGTTGATAAGGTTGAGAAACGTTGGTCTAAAGATATTGAAAATGGATATATTTTCCAGTATGGTGCAGGCTTATATAGCAACAGCAATAGCACTTAGACTTCCATACCGCTTCACAGTGCTTTTACAATCCTCTCTAAGCGGTTTACAGAGTCAGCATATTGTCTCCAACAATCTGGGTCCTCATTTTACCCACCTCAGAAGGATGGAAGGCTGAGTTAACCTTGAGCCTGGTGAGATTCGAACTGTCAAAATTGCAGGCAGCCAGCAGAAGTAGCCTGCAGTACTGCATTCTAACCACTGTGCCACCATGGCTGTATAGCAGGAGTCTTCAAACTGCAGCTTGCAGGCCGGATATGGCCCTCCAAAGCCATTAACCCAGCCTGTGCGGGACCACAAAGCTGCCCCGTCCACATCGTCCCACCTAACTGCCAGCTCCCACCTGCCTTCTGGAGGCTGAGGAGGCCAAAAACGGGTCACAGAGGCCTCCCTGATCTCCAAAGAGAGAGGGGGAGAGAAAGAGAGAGAGAGAAAGACACAAACACACACACACACACACACACACACACAAACATAAACAGAAGTCCTTCACACACACCCCAAGGCAGCCACATTCCTTCACTAACTTGCTTTCCACCCCCAAGAGCATAACAAATTAAAGTTTAATTTATGTGTATTATTTAATAGACTGCTAAATTAGCCAGGCCCACCCAGTCACATGACCACTTAGCCATGCCCACCCAGTCACATGACCACTTAGCCATGCCCACCCAGTCACATGACCACTTAGCCATGCCCACCTAGTCACATGACCACTTAGCCATGCCCACCCAGCCAGTCCAGGCCCCCCAATAGTCTGACGGACCATGAATTGGCCCTCTGTTTAAAAAGTTTGAGGATCCCTACTCGATAGAATCAGACTACATATAGTCCTCCACTTATGACCACAGTTGAGCCCAAAATTTCTTTTGCTAAGTGAAACATTCATTAAGTGAATTTTGCCCCATTTTACGATCTTTCTTGCCCCCATTTGTTAAGTGAATCATTCCAGTTGTTAGGTTAGTAAAATGGTTGTTAAACTGAATCTGGCTCCCCCATTGACTTTTCTTGTCAGAAAGAACCAAAAGGTGATCACATGAGCAACCATCATGAATATGAATCAGTTGCTACGTGCCCAAATTGTGATCACGTGACCATGGGAATGTTGCAATGGTTGTAAGTGTGAAAAATGGTTATAAGTCACTTTTTTCAGTGCCGTTGTATCTTTGAATAGTCACTCCACTTGAGCCAGGGTTAACTTCTCTAACACCAACAAATCTCAGTGGTGTCAGGAGACAGTCTCTGTGCTATCACCTTTTAATCTGGAGAGCTTGGAGTTGAACCCAAGAGCTTATGTATTCAAAATGTAAGACTTACAGGAAAGATGGCTGAAAATATATTTCTTCCTGGTCTTTTAATGTAGGACAGTGCCAGGCCCAAACCCAGAGATGACACAGCAAAATCCAATTGAAGTCCACTCTTTACTTCCTTATACCTAATGGACAGAATCTTGCCGAACAAAACTATAAGTAGTCCTCTATTTTAAACCATTCATTTAATTAATATGCAAAATTTTGAATGACACTGAAAAAAGTGACTTATGACCAGTACTCACGCTTATGACTGTAGCAGCATTCTCATGGTCACATGATCAAATTCTGGTTGCTTGGCAACCGGCATGTATTTATGATGATTGCCACATCCTAGGGTCATGTGATCATCATTCATTACCTTCCCAACAAGCAAACTCAATGGGGGAAACCAGATTTGCTTAACAACCACATGATTCACTTAACAAATGCAGTGATTCGCTTAAGAATCTTGGCAAAAAAAAGGTCATCAAATTGGGTGCGACTCACTTAACTACTGACTTTAACAATGGAAATTCTGGTCTCAATTATGGTTGTAATTCAAGGACTACCTGTATAATCTTCTAATCAAGGGGTGTCAAACTGCATTTCTTCGAGGGCTGAATCCATGGGCCAGCTGGGGGGGGGGGAGAGAGACGGGACGGACACCTCCTGCAGCACCCTGCTGGCCAAAATGGGGCACGGGTTGGGGTTAGGGCTCTGCCCCCACACCTGGAGGCTGCCCAGGCTGAAAATGGGCTGCACGGGGGCTGTGCGCGGGCCCCCCGTGTCCCGTTTTGACTTCCAGAGGCACAGCGGGCCAGTCCTTTGCTACTTCCAGGCTGGCACCGCTGGCCAGATTTAAGCTGCATCCGGCCCACAGGCCTCGAGTTTGACACTCGTGTTCTGATCCTGAGATATTTTAGTGTGTAGCTGTCCTGAACCTCTTCTCCCCTCTCTATAAGGGGCTCCACAGTTTCTCTGAGAAAGCCCAGTGTTGCCAAAACTTTGTTGTAAACACTCCTCCAGGTGCATTTCCATCACAGAAAGATTGTGCAGAATGCAACATACTGTAGGTAATATAATCTGTGACATTCTTGTGGTCTCTTAAAGGTCATCTGCTGAGTCCAGTTTCTCCTTAATCAGAGTAAACATAAAATAGTAAAACTACTTTCCGAGTTACAGAAAGCAGTAGATGGATCTTATCATCTTACTATATTCGACATTTAGTTTTTAGTTTACTTTATTGTCATTGCACCTCGTACAACAAAATCAAACACCATCTTCAGTGCACATCATGACCACGACCATGAAAATAAACACAAACACACATCCTTCACCCCTTCACACATTGAACCGGAATGTTGTAGATCAGTTTTTTTCATTCTAGTATCTTACATATTTGTACTGAAGGGCACCAATTTGCAGACGTATATACACATATAAATCAATACAGGATATATTTACTTATTTATTAAATTTATATGCCACCCGTCTCACTGTCAGGTGCCTCTGGGAAGAGAAAAGCCACATTATTCCAGCAAACATAGAAAACCCAAAACAAGGTAGTTGCTCTTCTGGGTTTGGCGTGCGCATGTGCACCCGGCATCTGGTCTTTATGCCCGTGGGAGCGCTGGAAACTGGAATAGCACTCCCTGGTGCGCATACACGTTAGAAACCAGAAGACTAGGTGGCTGGTGTGCACGTGTGCTCCGGGAAGCTAAGCTTCCTGCTTCTGGCGCTCCCACACACGTGCGTCATGGAGCTGCTCTTTTGGTTTCTGGTGCGCGCATACACGCACGCGCTCCGATTGGTTCGCCACCACTGTTCTAGGCTCTCCAGCCAGCGTAGTGAAGGAAAAAGAATGCTGGGAACTGTAGTTTAACAGCTTGAAATGTAACAAGTTTAGTTTTTTTAATTCTGGATTTTCTTAGATTCTTTTTCCCCATTGCTAAATTGAAATATTTTTCACCTATCTTTTGGTCAGCAAAAAAACGACTGCTGTGAATTCCAGTACCAGCTAACAATTTTTTTTGCAGACTTCCATTATCGAGATCATCTTTTCTACAAAACAAAAGCTGGAGAGATGATAAATCCCAGGGTGAACTTCATTTTCTCACTCTCCTGTTTGCCCTTTTCTCGGCAGTTTGCTCCGGGGGGCGGACGAGATTGGCTTGCGGAAGCCTGTGAAGGCTGAATTTGGGGGTGGCATGCGCAGTTTCTCCTGCGAGGAAGATTACATCTACGAGAACATAGAAAACGAACTCTATTTTTTCACTTCTCAGGTGAGTCCTCTGGGGCAGGGAAGAGGAGAAAATCTCCTAGCAGTGATGATGTTACCTAGTTTGGGTGATGAAACGTTGGCAAGAAAACAAGCGAGCTCAGGGAACACCAAGGAACCCTCATGTCAGCCCTGAGCTACTCCTTTATTAGAAAAACCCCCTTCCCTTCAGTTCTAGTTGCTGTTTGGTAGAAAATCCATTGATTGTTAAGGACCTCTGCAGACGATCCTGCTGGGTAGATTGAAAGAATTGCTAGGTCAGACAAACTCCGGGTTCCACAAACAGTTATTACTTCAGCGCTCTCAGGAAAGGAGGACAGAGACCTCTCCGATCTGTCCCCAAGGAGCTGTTTTTTATTAATAGTTTGCCACTCTGCAGGGAAGCTCTGTAGAGTCCTTATAGCTAATGGCCCTCTGTTTCTCTTTCTACAATGAACTCGGTTAAGACCATCAGTGAGATCCTATCTATTCCACTACCAGTTTGGTGATCGCGTGCGCATGCACACACACCTAACGTGTGCCACCTAACACGCACACACAGCTTTCCACATACTAGCTGAGGCCTTCAGCACCAATCAACTGAGAGGATAAACCAGAGAAAAGCACGGGGGGTGGGCGGAAGGGCCAATCCTGCGTTTTTTCTTTCCTTTCTCCTCTCAGTTGATTGTCAGAGGCTTATTTTACTACCGGTAACATACCACCACTGGTTAAGACCTAGGGCTATGCGTTGCATTCATGTCCCAAAGCTTTGGATGAGGCATCTGAACACCGCCCACAAATTGCAATGTTTATTGAAGGCAAAGAGGGAGGATCATGTTGACAGGATTGTATTCGTTTAGCGTGAAATTAAAAAAAAAATCAGTGGAAACGAAATCAAATGTCATTCAAGGCTAAGAATGCCTCATGGCTAGGCTTGTCATAATCCAGATTTCCGAATCTGGCAGCCTAATTAGCACAATATTTCAATTAGACTAATAGACGAATTCACCTACTTTGCATTCGTTGGATGCATTTTGAACGCAGAGAGCACGCTGACACACCCTCCTCTGGCTCTCCTTTCTTACCCCACAATCTCCATTTTTGAGGGTTTGGTTTCAACAAACTTTCTTCCCTCTGGGATCCCATAGGAGCATCCACTTAGCCACTCCTTTTTTCCCACTTAGGACAGAGATCTCCAAAGTTGGCAACTTTAAGATTGTGGACTTCAACTCCCAGAATACCTGAACCAGCCATGGTAGCTAGGGAATTCTGGGAGCTGAAGTTCACAAGTCTTAAAGTTGCCAACTTCGGAGAGCCCTGGTTCAGGGCTTCCCCTCCTAACTCTTGATCTTTCCCGTGCTGTGTACCAAAACAGGGTTGGTCTGGTTATAGGGCACCCCTATCCATAGCCTCCATACTTACACTCTGCTGCTTCCAGCTTTATCACATCTGCAGAACAGACCTGCACCACACAAAGCCATATTTCCCGCATGGACAGCTTTGTTGAGTGGGGTTATTTCCTCAGTCCTGGAACAATCTGTCCTCTGCCTTTGCTTTGGTTGGTGTTGTGTGTCCCAATTTACAGCGAGTGGAACATTGCGATCCAGTAGGAGAGAATTAATGGCTTTCAAGAGAGCTGTAGAGACACGATCCAGTCATGGACATGACTTTGAATGAGAGGTTGTTAACCCAAACTGTTCATGGCTTTTCCATCCTGCTTTCAGGAACGTCAAAACATCATCAGGTATTGGCTGGAGAACCTGCGGGCCAAGCAGGGTGAAGTGCTGCATAACATCCACTTCCTGGAAGGGCAGCCAATCAGTGAGTTGGGGATGGGGGCCTGCAGATGGGATGTACTCAGTACTGTGCATCTGCCAGTTAAAACCAGAATTGGGTTGGGTTTTTTTACACGTTTCCTTGCCATGCTGAATCTTCTCTGTGCTATGTCTTTTGCATTTGCTCAATGCTCGCAAAGTCTGGTTTTGAAACTGAATATTTATTTACCTATTATTCAAATTTCTATAGCCACCCTTCTCGCATGAATGGCCTTGGGCAACTTACAAACAATTGAAACAAATGTAAAAGCAAACAATAGAACCTTTTTAAAAACAAGAGGAAAATAATGTAATAGCATATAAAATAGATACTAAATACATAAAACGTACAGCCCATAGTAGTCCTTTACTTACGACCATTCATTTTGCCGCTGTTCAAAGTTACGTCAGTTCTGAAAAAAGTAATTTATGACCAGTCCTCCCACCTATGGGCAGCATCCCCTTGGTCACATGATCAAAATTTGGTGCTTGGCAACAGGTATTTACAATGGTTGCAGCATCCCGGGGATTATATGATCATCAGCCAGCCTTTAACAAGTCAATGGGGGAAGGCAGATTCACTTAACAACTGCATGATTCATTTAACAACCATTGTGATTTGCTTAATGAACGCAGCAAAAATTGGGTGCAACTCACACACTGACTGCCTCACTTAATGACAGAATGTTTGGGACCAATTGTGGTCATAAAGCAAGGACTACCTATAATCCGTTCATCAAAACAATCAGCACAGCCACTGTTCCCCATGCTTGTTGGTAAAATGTCTTTGAGACTGTGCAAAAAGCCAGAAGGACATATAATGGCTGCATCAAATTAAAATAATAACTAATCTCATAAATCCAGGCATCCTCATGTCTATTAATTCGGATTAGTCTTATCTGTGATTTATTTTAACTGGAGAGTGGTAGGATTGGGGTTAGCAGCTAGAATACTTGGGCCAAACTTGGCCCTTTGAAGGGAAAGTCTCAAATCCTCACCTGTCGATCTTGAAACAAAACTGCTGTAATTGGAATTTTAGCTGAACATATTATCTGAGACAGGAACCACGTCTTCCTCCCTTCCTAAGTAAATTGAATCGTAAATCAAGACCATTTTTAAAAAGAACATTTAATACTCACTTGCCAAATTAGATGCTTTTGCTTCTTACTTTCCCTGCCCCCAATTCCCATGTTCAAGCCATCCCTGAAATTGATCATGCTGGAAAGAATTTTAATCAAGTGAAAATTTAAATAGGGCATAGTGTAGAAATTGCAAATGCAGGAGAATGAAGAAAGTTAACAGAAGAACATTTGTCTTTGCCTTCCTTCACCTCTGGACAGCTAAGGTGTGGTTTAAATATTTAATAGAAATCAAGTAATACAAATTTCCCTGAAATTTGTGGGGTAGAGTAGGGTGAAGTGGGGCTAGATGAGGGGCTGGCTAGCTTAAAGCACCCTTGTCTTAGATGAAGGTGCTATAAAGTCAGAGAAGGTTGTCTTTCAGTGGCTGGAAATTATGATTACAGTACAAGGAGTCCTTGACTTACAGCCATTCGTTTAGCGACTCTTCGAAGTTAGAACAGCACTGGGAAAAAGTGACTTATGACCATCCTTGCACTTATGACCATTGCAGCATCCCCACAGTCATGTGATCAGAATTTGAGTGCTTGGCAACCGGTATGTATTTATGACAGTCTGCAGCATCCTGAGGACATGGACTCGCCATTTGCAACCTTCCCAGCTGGCTTCCAACTACAGCCACATGATTCGCTTAAAAAACTGCAGCGATTCATTTAACAACTGTGGCAGGAAAAAGGTCGTAAAATTGGATGCAACTCGTTTTAACAACTGCCTTGCTTAGCAATGGGAATTCTAATCCCAGTTGTGATCATAAACTGAGGGCTATCTGTATTTGCACATAAGAAAACCAGATAGCACCGAGCAGGAAAACATTACACAGGAATTGTACCTAGTTCAAAAATGGAGATGGAATACATGTGAGGGAGGAATGTGAGGAGGAATAATAAAGATACATTAGTTATTATAAGAGGACCAAGCATTAGGTCCCACACATGTTATTTTAGTCTGTCTTAATCATTGCTGTCAAAAACATCAAGGCACATAAAAAGATGAGAGCTTTGTTCATCCTGACTTTTTTTTCACTGCATTGTACCTTGATCACTATAATAATATATCCTAAATATATATTAGTATGCACTTGAAAGGAAGATGATGTTGAATTTAAAACAGTTACCCTCTAAAAGAGATTAAGAAGAGGGGGGGGGGACCCTGCTTATCCTTCCAAAAGCCACACAATTAATCCTAACACTGCTATGTTTTAGAAAATCCCTTAAAATGTATCACATACAGCAGACCATGGCGGAAAGCAATTGTTGAGGTAATTCCCCGTTAGGAGAATGAGCGCATACAGGGAGACATACAGAGAGTAGTGTTTGAATAATACACACACAGCACACAGATACACTGTACAGTAAATGTAGGTTTTTACTTCCAGAAAGGTTTAAGCAAAGTTTAAAATAGGCAGTCCAAAGTCATTCACAGGTAAGATCAGTCAGTTTTTAGTCCAGGAATAATCCAATAACAAATTCCAGTGTCAAAAATAGTTCAGTATCAGACTTACATCAAATCCAGGAATATCAGTCAATTAGGAAAAATGGAGGAACGGCAATATTTTCCAACAGAAGGAAACAGAGATACACTCTCTTCTGAGACTCAGACTAAGACAAACCAGGTTTCTGGCTCCATGTTATGGCCGTTTGAGAAACCACACCTAATTACAGTTTTGCATTTTCTTAAAGATACAGTTTTAAAATGTTTATCCTGGTTTATATATTTCTAACCCAAATAGCTGTTAGGTGACTCATATTCCTAACAGCAATTTTATCACCCCATGCTGATTCTGGGCTGTTATTCCTTAGTTCTTGGCCTTTCCTTTTCCAATATAGTAATATATCCATTGTTTTTCGCTTTTTGTCCCCATTTCCCGCTTGTTTTATTGTTTTAATATGTTGCATGATGCCTGGATTGGCTTGTTTAATTGTGGCAGCTTATATAAACTGAACAAACAAAGGAAATTTGGATAAAATCCAGATCATTTGGATATGATCTGTTTGAGGGCCATAACACACATCACATATTTATTATCCTTTCTCTCTCTCTTTTTTTTCTTTGCATTTTGTGTTCAGTTGTTGCTCTTTCATATTGTGGTATTTAAACTTGGATCAAGCTTAAGTTGTATTGATTGTCCTCATGCACCAAATGACTGAGTTTGCCTCTGGGCCTGACTTGAGCATGGTTAGAAAATGAACAGGGTGAGTGGGGTTAATCTCTTGTTTGAAAGGGTTCACACCTGTAAGGCAAACAAAACATAGGCAGAACAGGACAATCCAGAACCCTCTGAAGGCAGGAAGAGGAACTATAGTGAGGAAAAGCCTCAATATTTGCCTTCTAGTAAATCACTGCTATTTTATTAATAGACCAAAACAGAAACACCATTGTAGCTCCTTGACATTAATGCTCATGGAACGTTTTCAACCGTCTGAATGGGCCCAGTGGTGGGATTCAAAGATTTTACCACCGGTTCGGTGGGCGTGGCTTGGTGGGTGCGCTTTGCACGTGTGCACACACTTTGCGTGTGCACACGTGTCAAATACGCACTTTGTGCAGGCACAGAGGTGTTTGCACAGGCACAGAGGCATTCCAACTCACCTCCTACAAGCCCGCACTCTCCCTGTCGCTTCAGCAGCTGCTGCGCGGCACTCTGCTGTGCCGCGCAAAGCAGCTGCACTTCAAAAGCAGGAAATAAAGGTGAATATGGGAGCCCGAGCGGGCGGGCAGGCCCAACAGCAGAGCGGTGGTTCAGTCTCCGCTGCTCATCGGCACTAGCGGCTCGGCAGAACCGGGCTGAACTGGTAGAATGCCACCACTGGAATGGGCCTTCCATCTCAAAAGGCTGGCTGGCTCCCTTCTTACTATGGAATGCATTTCCGGATTCAGTCTGTTTTGTGGCCTATTGCTAGCACAGTAGCTCTCTACGCAGGGTTGTGATTGACCACGGGAGTGCCAAGGAATGGGGCCCAGTGGGCTACGTTTAGTGTAGAGAGCTAAAAAAAGAGATTTCTGGATTTTTGCTCTGCTCTGATCTTCTTCCTTCTTTCTTTTCACAGTCCCTGAGCTGGCTGCTCGTGGTATCCTTCAGCAAGTCTTCCCCATCCATGAGCAACGGATTCTGAATCGGCTGATGAAATCGTGGGTACAAGCCATTTGTGAAGCCCAGCCTTTGGGTATGGCCCCTTGACTCACATAGGTCCCTGCCTAGAACATTTATTAGAGTCCTACCTCCACCTATTTTTTTCTCTCCCTACATTCTACTAAAGTAGCTCACGAGATTTGTTTTGCTTTATTAGAGTTGAAAATTAATGTTCTCCCTCCCCACCATTTTAAATCATAAGCTGCCTAAGTGAGTCAGGGCTATTGCTTGCCCAGTACAAAGGCCCTGATTCTCTAACATGATCTGAACCCAACCATTTCTCTGTAAATGGGTAAAGGAACTAAATTTATTTCATGCTGAGTCAGATCAGCATAAGCATTTTACAAAACAGACTTCACTAAGCTCGGAAAACCAGATCTGCTATAATTCAGGCAAACACAAGATGGCAGTAAAGGATTATTTTTTCTGGGTCTCTTTGCTGCCATCTATTGATTATGCAGACCTTGCAATTCAAATATAGTATAGTGGCAGTATGAGGGGCAGCTAGAAGTTGTATATTATTTTCTAAGTGTGTGGAGTTGCCTTCATATTAAATATGAAAAAAGATACTCAATGGAAGTGAAAGAACCTCCGTATGATGGGGGGAAGATTGGAAGTAAATTATTATTGCAAAAGATGAGGAAGAAAGATATATAGAGAAAAAATAGTTTAAAAACATAGTGAAAGTATAAAAATTGGTTGAGGTCAAAAGAGGTAGAGGAAATACAGAGTTTTTTTGGAAGAGAGAGAATGATTTGAAGTTTTATATGAATCACAGCAATCTAGATCTATCTTGGTAAAATATTTATTTATTTACTTTTTATGGTCACCTATCTCACAAGAAGTGCCTGTGTAGCAGCATACCATAAAGATATAAAACTAATATGTCAAAAAGTAGTCATTAGTAAAAAGTTAATAGTTACTTCTATATTAAATTCATATGTTCACCCAATATATGGAAAATGAAGAATGGATGGAGACGTTTTAAGTGAAAATGCTGGCAGAGAAGTATGTAGTCTCTTGAGAGGAATCTTTGCCTCTGGGAAAAAGTAGTCAGAAAATCTCAGCAGGTGGTAGCATCTCCCTGAACTTGGCTGACCTTGAAAAAAGCGGAGCTGGGTAGTATTTACTGTAGGTGTGGGGCAAACTATGAGGTAGTTCGGGTAATCTAAAAATATTTCAGAAGATGTTAATGGCAAATGATTTCAATATTGCATCCAAGAAAAGAGCCTGGACATTGCCCAGTTGTGAGAATTTAGCTTGACTCCCAGTTAAGCTGTATCATTTGTCTCCTAAGGGTCTCCTTAGCATAGAGGGGCATTAGCAGCCATCACATTCCCATCAATTTAGTCCAGTATTTGTCAACCTTGGCAACTTGGCTGAAATGTTTTAGAGAGTAGAATGGCAGCCAGTGAGGCTACTGTAATGTGGGAGCCACATCCTTCATATAAATGCAGGTAATCCTCAACTTACAACTGTAGTTGAACCCAGAATTATGGTTGTAAGTCATTGCAATCGTTAACTGTTCCCAGACCCTATTTTGCACCATTTTTGTGTCAGTCGTTAAATGAATCCATTTTATACAATGGGAACTTTTTGTGAGAAACCAGCAAACAACTGACAGAAAACAAATAAATGATTGGACTACCTGTGATTGCAGTCAATAATATGGTTACTGTATTATGATCGGTCTTCAATGACAGCCCTATGTAGAATACACTGTAGTAGTCCAGATGGGATATAAATAAGGCTACTTGTACTTCTGAATTTTCTTTCACATTACCTGTCCAGATAAAAAGTGTTTAAGCTGAAAAGTCCCAGGGCATCAGAAACAGGAAAATGAATTGAGGTAGGATTGTTGGGTTGATAACCACTGTATAGACTACCTGACAGCCGAGGAAAAAAGACCATTCTTGTTCCTTGCCCCTTTGTAGGTATTAATGAAGTGTAATTTGCTCTTTGATTGAACAGAGAGATTTCTCTAGTAGCACAGTTTTAGGAAAGAGTAATCTTGCCTTTTCAAGTTTTGTCCTTACGTTCTCCTGAAACTGTCCCTCTTCTTCTACCAGATGAAATATGTGATTATTTTGGAGTGAAGATTGCCATGTACTTCGCATGGCTGGGCTTTTACACATCAGCCATGGTATATCCTGCTGTCTTTGGCTCCCTTCTCTACACCTTCACAGAGAATGACCAGGTGAGGCGTTGAAGTGCATTGCAATGGCATGGTAGCCTTCTGGATTTGTTCTACTTCTACCTGAAGAAGCTGAGAATCAGATTTCTGGTAAGCCTAGATATATACAGTATATATTCTTTCTCTTTTTTTCATACTTCATTACTTTTTTCCTTCCTTCTCGACACCTCTAACAATCATAACAATTAAGCTATAGGCTACTTGGCATCTTAGACCCCAATGTCCATTAGAAGCCTCTTAAATACCCTGTGAACCTTGAACTATAGCGTTCAAAATATTAGATATTTTGAAATAGTTCAATATTTCAAATATTGAGATATATATATATTTGAAATAGTCAGTATTATTAGGGTACAAATCAGTGGTGGGATTCAAATAATTTAACCACCGATTCTCTGCCCTAATGACTGGCTGGGTGGGCATGGGCGTGGTCATGTGACTGGGTGGGCGTGGCCAACTCAATATCACTCCTCAT